TGCTCCAGTCCCTTTCATCCTTGTGGCCCTTTGCTGGACTCTCCCCAGTATGACCATGTCTCTCCTGGACTGGGGAGCCCAGAACCGGACCCAGCACTCCAGGTGTGGCCTCACCAGCTCTGAATAAGGGGTCAGGATCACCTCCCTCGTCCTGCTGGCAATACTTTGTCTAATGCACCCAGGATACCATTCATCTTCCTTGCCGCAAGGACACACTGGCGGCTCACGTTCAACCTGGTGTCCACCAGGACTTCCAGGTCCTTTTCTGCAGAGTTGCTTTCCAGCTGGGTGGCCCCCAGCATGTACTGGTGCATGGGGTTGTTCCTCCCCAGGTGTAGGACTTTGTGCTTTCCTTTGTTGAATGTCATGAAGTTCCTGTCAGCCCATTTCTCCAGCATGTTGAGGTCCCTCTGGATGGCAGTACAACCCTCTGGCATATCATCTGCTCTTCCCAGTTTCGTGTCATCTGCAGAGCTGCTGAGGGTACACGTCCCCCTCATCCCAGGCCAGTCATTGAACCCTTGTTTTAGGGGTTTTTTTTTCAGTTTCTGCTATCTTCTTCTTTTCAATAGTTTTCTGGGCTCAGAAATAGGAACTTGATCCCCAGTTTGTAGTAATACACACCACATCAACAGAAATATCATCTCATACATAGGAATATTTATTTTTTTCCTTCTTAAAAATGTACAAAAAATAAAATAACTGTATTTACAGTTTATCAAACCCCTCTCCCAGTTGCAACACTATTAAGTTACATGAGCTATTTTCTTAATATAAAAGCACACTATTTATACATAGAGTTTCCTTGTTTGCCAGAAAGAGGGCTTGTCACAAACTTTGGCACAAACATTCTTGTTTGTAACTTGTCTCAATTCATAGGAATAGAGCGTATAAACATTTCATAAGCTTTACATTTTAAAAGTCATAAGGTACTCCTTTCCAGTTCCATATCGATCAATATACAGCATCTCCGACAGCTGGAGGGTTTAGTTTTTACTAATTGTTTGAATTAATTTACAACATTTAAACAATCCGTAGACTGAAAGAGGAAAATATACAAAAAAGACACTTGATCTCTGAATTCCATTGACCAAAAACTTCATAAGAGAGGACACACAGGAAAAAGAAGATCTTTTCTTTGTAGTTTACATTCCATGGTAAACATCCTCCAAAATGTCTTGATGGGATATCACTGTCCATCAACAAAGCTTCACTGCAAGGATGCACTTTATTTGAGGGATATCCACACCTGACTGTGTAGAAAGAAACTAAAATTTGAGATTTGGGGGTTTCAAAATAGAACATCAAATGGACGGATACAGTGACAAATCTGTAGTGGGAGCCAAAATTAGAGTTTAGAAGACTGTTCTCCTTTTGCATATCTCTACCAGAGTCTGTTGAAACACATCTACAGACACTGCACCGCCCTAATTCTTCACAGGGACAATGAGTTGAGCAGCACACAACCCTTCAGGCTGCTCTACTTAAGATTCAAGGCTGCTGTCTTGAAGAAAGAAAGGAAATGAGAGTTTTGTTCCCTTAAATAAACAATCATGGCAGCGCCACAAAGAGAGAAAAGGAGGCAAGGCAAGTATTCCTGTCCCCTGCCAAATCTTACTTCCATTTAACTCATACTATTTGGAAGATCCAGCGTTAATCAATATTTTTCATTAAACAAAAGCAACATGTATATTTTAAACAATACACATGCGAGCACTTTGTACTCCTCAAGACCTCTGAATCACAAAGGGCATGAGGACGGCCACTGCTTCAGAAGCCTGCACTACTCCTACTGGCCCTTCCCCGTCACTTTGATAGCCTGTTTTTGACCAACAACGTGAACCCCGAGAGCTTGTAAGTTGCCACAACGAGCATTTACAGCTCAGTGCTCCTCCAGCAGCTGCTGCTGTAACTACAACTGAAGGGGTGCAAGGTGATGTGCTCTTTGTAACGTCTTACGTGCTTGCGATGCATCTGCATCTGGAGCAGAGAAACAAAGCCCTCACACCCTGGCAGATAAAGTTAAGGAAGATCATCCTTAACTAGCTCTAGCTGTTGTTTTAAAATCATCTTACCATCATGGTAAATCCTATGCATCTTCTTCAACCCTGCTACCTTCACTGAGACGGTAAGAAGGAACTAAAGGTAGGAGTATAAGCTCTCTTGTACCAGGAATTCGTACACTTCAGGAATTATTTAGAAAAGCTTCCAGTTAATCTTAGAATCAACTTTCCTTCCCTGGACAGTGACTGACTGAAAGCTCCTAAAATGGCAATGGAAAGATAGCTGCTTAAGCCCCAGAATTTTCTGGAGCATCGCATGTCTCACTGATCCTACACTGCCCCCCAGTACAGGATGCTGCAACATCCAACAGATCCCAGCTCATCTTCACCCACGTGTAAGACAAGAATGTCCCATTAACCTGAGTGCTGGTGCTGCCAGAACAGCCCTGTCCTTCTCCACAAACCCCAAATTCTCACTGTCCTCTCTTAATGCAGCACATCCCACCCCACACCAGCCCCAGGCACCACAGGGCTTCCCTGTCGCTAAGAGAGGCTGGACGGCAGGTTTGTTGGGTGCAGAACCAGGGCTCAACGTCTGCATACGTTTACTCCTACGCTGCACCTGCAGCTTCTGCCCAGACATTATCACCAGCTGAGAGATCCCAGCTAATACCCTTAGGATCCCAAACACCATCAAACAACAGAGAAATACAAGAACTAACAACAATGTTCACCAGTCCTCTTTGCTGGTCTCAGTTCCTAATGCCACCTCCCAAAACTGTCCTCTTTTTTCTTTAGGAAAAAAGTATCTGGGCTAAGTCAGCATAGACTTTTATCTGTGCCTGAGCCAAGTAGAAACAAACTGAATCACCATAAAGACCTTGTATTCCCAGTATGTCTGCTCTTGAGCAGCACAGCAAGAACACCTTTGCTGGAGTACCTATTTATAAAAAGATAATGGAATTACTACAAAACTGCATCAGGAAAAAGAGCACATGACAGAGGAAGAAGGAATGAGTAAAGAAGACAGAACAGACCCTTTGCTTGGCATATATATGTGGATTCTGGGTACATGAGCCCTGATGGTAACAGCCTGAACCTTTTATAGGTTCTAGTCCCACAGAAACTTTGACAGGTACCTAACGCTTCTATTTGAAGTGCAGATTTTAATGGGATGCTATTGCTAATGAAATTAAGAATGTGTGAAAGAGCTCACAGAACAATTAATACAAAAACATGACCAAATGAGACAGGTCAGCTATCCCAGCTCCTCACAGCTCAAAACACTACAGAATGAGCCCTGTTAAACTAGGCAGTGCTTCTTCATGCCATAAACCACCTAATAAAAAAAGACTCTAAATGAAAAAAAACCAACAAAAAAACCCAAAACTTAAGGCTGCAGGTAGGAGTACAGGATCCACATACAGTGCATAGAGAATACAATGCTTGCAGCTGAAATTCACGGGATTGTATGCTGAGTGAGGAGCTCTCTATGGTATCCGGAGGAGCTAGAAAGGAGAGAGAGAGGTGCTGGCTTTGGATGCGCCAGGGACGTTTAGACCTTGAATCCCTTTCCTGGTATGATGTTAGCCTGTAACTTTCTCTCTTCACAGAATTCATGAGACAGGAGTGGAATTCGATGGGATCACCTTGTAGTTCAACTGGGGTTCAGATCCAGCCCTTGTGAGAGAGACAGATCTCCACACCTCAGTTGTGGGATACTCGGTCTCCACCGGTAAAATTGTTCGTTTCAGTAAAATATTTACAGCAAGCCCAGGTTTATATCTCACCCAACTGTCCTAGGAATCAAAACAGAATCATTCAATGGAGATACAAGAGCAAGTACCCTTAAGAAGAAGAGTTTTTAAGTCTTGATTCTTACAGTCTAGAGGAACGCTTTAATGAGCAGGCTGCTGCAGAAAGCACCTTTCCCTCCGCAGGCTTGAGAAAAGCCCCCTTTGAGAGCTTCCACTTCAACACCAGAACAGGGAGAAGTCCCTCCTGTACCACCAGGCACACCACGCAGCAGAGACACGGTGCCTCTTGGATCTGGTGACAGCTGGATGGGACATTCAGGTATCTACAGCTGGGACTTGGGCACCTAAGGTGGGTCCCACTGTGCCAGAGCAGTCCAGACCCCGTAGCATGATTTGCTCCAATATTTCAGTATAAAACTGGGTGGGGAAGGGTGGAACGTATGAGTGCAGATGCAGTTATCAGCTTCTCAGTACACACTCCTTACCAGATTGCAGAAATCTAATCCTCTAGGAAAGATTCCGTTAAACCCTAAACCCAATACATACAAAAACATAGTGGCACTAAACATGCCCACAAACAGTAGTTAAAATATATTATTGCATATTATAAACATTATATACAAGGTTAAAATGGTTTCTTTACCATTTACTTACAAGTGACATTTGTAGCTGAATGCCTTACTTACAAGTCCTCGTTGCTACGTGCTGAGAACTACCAGAGGTATTTGGCAAGACTATACACTATAGAGAGATATGGTCAGTCTGAGCAAGTGAACTCTGTCAGCCACTTTCCCCATCTTTAGCACTGCACCAGTTTTTTATCAATGATGGACAGAACTACTGGGAAAGTGATTTACACCAGATCTCTGAATCTAGACCAGCATGATTCTTTAACACGTTTTAGAATGAGCTTATCCACACTAAAGTATGGATTAAAATGCCGCATCTCACATTTGCAGTGGGTCATCTGATTACAAATCTGGGGCCTGGTAACTGCTTGTACACTACAAAGTGGGAAACAATAAATAAGGGACCAGGTTAACATGAGTGGCCTTGTGCTTGACAAACACAAGCCTCTATGCAGTGGGTGCACACGTGCAGAATGGACAGTATTTTCAAAGCAGTCTAAGCAGTCTTGTAACAGTCTCTCTGATCAATATCTGTCAAGTTCCTGGGGAATCTTCTGCTTTCCAAGAAGGATGAAATGCTGTGGTTTCTTACGAAAGAGCTCTGCCTGAGGCTAGATCTCTGTCAGTGTGATCTTGAAGCCTTCGACCATGCTCTCCATGTGCAGGATGAACGTGTCCTCATTGGAGTAGTGCTCAATAATGTTGTCATCCATGTTTACCAAGATACTGGTGACAAAGGCAAAAATCAATATTTTTATGTACCAGGACACTGACAGGGAAAGCCATGCACTCCACCGCTTGTGCTCGCTTTGCTAAAACAGACTCCAGCCCATGCCAGTGCAGGGATAGTAGTGGGAATCACGATCAAGATCTGCCCTGTTAGTCCCTTATAGTCTTTGGCTTAGAGGCTGCTATTTGCCAAAGCAGTTAAGGTAAGAGACATGCCAGTGCTGGGATGTTAACCCACTGCATCAATCAGACCCCTGGCACACCCGGATAGCTGCCATGCCTGCTGTCAGCTCCCCCAGGTATACCTCTGTGCTGCTCCTCAGCCACGCGGTGTGAGCTGCTGCTCTGCTGGGGTGGGAGTCACTGCTAACAGGGGAAGCAGTGTAATTTGTGCTTTGCATACAGCTCACAGGCCTAGAACCCAGCTTGGATGTGAGAATATCGACAACAACTCCTAGAGCTGTATATGAGTGTTTTCCTCACTCTTTACAATAAAGTGTTTATTTCAACAAACGTACCACTTGTGGTATGTTTCTGACACTTTCTGTGTTAGAAAGAAGCAAAACATGAGAAGTTTCACTTGCCTTCTCAAAAGCTAAAGAAATCCCCAGATGAAACAATGCCCTAAGCTAGAGCTACAGCTGAAAATAAGTTATTGACTTAAATTATATCACTACAACATTGTGGTTATTTAGAAGTTAAAACAGTTTAAGTGGAGAAATTCAGATTTATGGCAAGGAATAGTAGCCTAGCTATTCTAAAATCACAGCTGTGATGCTCATGTCTAAATTTACTCAGCTGAAACTCCTGCCGCAAACACTGCCCACCTGCCTTTCAGATTCAGGGAGTAGCCTACTTCTTCCTAACGCTGCAGGGAAACTCCACACCACATCCACAGCAAAGCCTGTGCCTCTCCCACACTACTACTCCATGATGTTACTAAGCATCTAGTCTAAAAAACAGGCTTTATTCAAATACATTTCCAAACACAAGCTCTGTTCCTTCACAATAAGCCTACAAATAGTGGTCAGACACAGACTGGAGATTCATGTTTCTTCCTCTGTCACCCTTTGCTGTCTCTCTCCATAGACAGTAAGATTTCAGGGTTATGAGCATGTCTCCTAGAAGTGTTTATACTGCCAAGCATAATGATGCCCCAAGCACAGCTGAGATCTCCGAGTACTTCCAAAGGATCCTGCAATAGTCCATAGTTAGTGTTGGTCCCTAGTTAGTTTACTTACCCCTTTTTGCTCTTCTTATAAAGTTTTGCAATCTTTTCAACTGGCAGCCCATATTTCTCAGAGATCTGAAATCATAAAAATAAAAGAAATCTCACTAAAGACTAAAAAAAAAATTATCACCTCTCACCTTATATAAGGCATTAAAACATCATCTCTGCAAACTCTGACAGCATAGCTATATCGAAAAGTCACTCGCAACCACACCACAGCTTCATTTAAGGATGATTTGGGGAGGAGTAATCCTAAACATCTTGATCAAAAAATCCAATTGTATCCATCCAGAAACCTGGATACTATAGTTTTCATAGGGTGTGAGTCACAAAAACTGCCTCAGCACATCCTACTTCTCTGCTCAAGGAGTCAACACTCTTCCCAGCTTCAGATTTCACCAGGGAATTTCAATCTGATCATCCACCTTTCTGCTTTTTCTTATGCTGACCTTCTGGGCTAATAGAAGCAAACACTTCTTCCACTGGGCAACAAAAAAAAAAAAAAAAAAAGTGCATGTTTCTATTTCTCAACGGCATATCAAGGTTTTGTTATGTTGCCAGGACCCTCCATGGTACTTCTTTTGTATGAAAAGTATCTTCAAGGCACCTGTTCTTGTGGGAAGGCTACGAACAGGCTACACACAGGATTAAGAAGCTTCTGTACTGCTGGGGAGGTAACTCAGCCTAGTTACTAGGGTAGCAAAGTGAGAACACTGTTTGGCTCACAAAACATCATCTGAGTGTACAGATAACGAGATGCTGCAGAGAAGGGTGTTAACAAGGTAAAGGACTTTAAAACAAACCTCTTGACAGCTACTCAATTGATAAAGCAGAAAATACAGGAAAATTTTTTAAGAAAAACTACTTAGCTAACAAATTACCAACACCAACAAGCACTTTACTGGGCATTGCTTTGCCGCAGCGTATTAGTAACATTTTTGGACATCCATTCTGCAGTGAGCCTGTGGTATGCTCGTAGAGATGGTTTCCCAAAGCCCTCCATCTGAGCCAGGTTTCCTTTCCAGATTATGACTCTTCTTTGACAGAACAGGTCTCACAGCTCATACTTTAGAAGAGGATTGTCCCAAAAGGCAAAATAATTATGGAAAATTTACTTTTTGTCAGTGATTAATGTTCTGTGGTACTCTACTGCCAACCAAAGTAAGTTTCCTGCTCTTCCCCGGTGAAATGAAGTTGCAGCTAAATAGCTATTTATCTTCTGCATTAGAGAACTGAAATGCACAATTAAAAATCCATTTAAAGACTGACAAACATCAGTCACTGTAAAATCCTTTCTTTGTGTTTGCTTTCAGACTTCCATTGAGAAAAAGTGGCATTTCAGACAAGTAAATTAAAGCAATTATCATGAAACAGAAAATGGCAAGAACGCAACGGAAAAACTCAGCACCAAGGACAGATTCAAACAGCCACAGGCAGAGCCCAAAGCACGGCTCCCATCCAGACAGCCAATTCTCTGAAAAAGAGAATGGATTAACCTATACTTGCCTACATCCCCTATACCTGTATAATTGTCAACTTACCTGAGATACAGTTTTGTACTTTAAAAGCATAGCATAACTCCAAGATTTTGAAGAACCAGTAAAACTTCTTTTACACTGCAGTTTCCTCTGACCACAGCATACATCTGTGGCTAACAGAAAGGGAAGGATGCAAATAAGGAGTTAACTGATAAGGTACACTGGACCCATCCACTCCCCAGGTTTCACACCTAGCAGAGAACTAAATACAAATTAAAACGTGGGCTGTATTTGCTGCTTCAGTTCTACTCGCACCAGCATGTTTCCCTGCCCTTTTGGATACAGTGCTGGAGATGCTGATGGCAGCCCAGGTTCCATGTTCTTGCTGCATTGGGAGAGGCCTAATTCAGCATCAGGGCTGCACAGGTTCATATGCTGTACTGTCCCATTCTCCCTGCTGTGGGGAGCAGTCCCCCTTGTACATTTATGAGAAGAGGGGCTTCACCCCACTTGTCTTATATCTCCCACAAGCATCCTCACTATTGAACTATAAAATCAATCTTTCACTGTAAGCTCTGTGCAGCTTACGCAAAAGGTTCTGTACAGCCTACAGAAAAGCTGTGTAACCACATGTTTAAGGTGCAAATAAATCCTACAAAGATGTTCCTTAACGTACTCAGCTTATCTGGAGCAAGTTCAAGTCCAGGGGAGGTTTAGGCTGGATATTAGAAAAAATTTCTTCACTGCAAGAGTGCTCAGGCATTGGAACAGGCTGCCCAGGGCAGTGGTGGAGTCACCATCCCTGGAGGGGGTCAAGAAACGTGTCGATGTGGTGCTTGGGGACATGGGTTAGTGGGTTGGGTGGTGTTGGGTTGGACTTGATGATCCTTGAGGTCTTTTCCAACCTTTAAAGATTCTATGATGATGATTCTATGATGATTCTTTGCTCCAGACAAGGCAGAACAAGGGTGATTCAAACCCAGGGTGTGGGATGTCCTAACCTATTCCAGCTACTCTCCAGCTACCCTCCATCACAGATGGGACAGGCTGCCCCACCTCGCCTTCGTGAACGCCTGACCCAGCCTATGCACATATATCCAAGGGAGGATCCATGAGGAGAATCCCCAGTAGAAGGAATTGCCTACCCCAGCCAGAAGCACTTGGTTAGGCACCCACACCGTGCCCCTCACTCTGCACTCTACTCCTGTCTACCACCACCTTTCCAAGCCTCCCTTCCTTCAATGCCTCATCCTGTGCTGCCCAGCCAGAGGCTGGCAACTCCTCTGGGGTACCAGGTGCCACACTGTGAAAGCAAATCTTGACTGTGTCTTAGAGAAGTTCTCAGAGAAATTTTCTCGTTTTCCTTTAATTCTTTCTTACTCTTTAGCTTTGCTTACCATGGTCAAAATAGAATGATGGCAGATAAGCAATCTGGTGATGAACTTTTGTATCTGTGGTTTTGTCATACCCCGAAATTCAAGCTTTCATGTAAAACAATAATAAAAATGGCTCCATTTCATCAGACTGCTGAAAAAAATCCTTCATAACAAGCATCTCTCTGAGAAAAATTGCAACCTGAAACTGCAGAAAACATCACAACTGTACAAACATGAGGAAACAATATATCTTCCTCTCTGGGTTGTTAACTCTGAAGCCTAGTGATACTGTAAAGATCAGTATTTAAAACACTTTTCACTGACTCCATACAAACAAACAAGCAGGGAGAAACATTCCTGTCCTGATGAGGTTTAACAGCAGCTAATATACAGCATTCTACACATTCCTGCATAAAACTTCCCCAGGATATCTGGGATACCTAACACTCACGCATGTCAAATGTTGCTCAAAGTGGTTTGGGTCTCTGGGACACCGCTTCCTACAAAGCTACGAGAGTTAGGGCTGAGAAAGCCTTGTCTGTCCCACTGCCTATGACAGGTGTAGGATTTATATAACATGCAGGGATTAGTGAGCTTTGTGAAAGACTTCTAGCTGACTGAATAAGCACATTTCTCAGGAACCCCTAAGGATTCAACTAATTATACCAACCGGCAAGCTGTGGAAGCAAGGCTCAAAGTGGGGGTATGGGAGAGCCTCCCACTCACAGGCTCAGAAAACGAGTCTCCAGTGCAAATGTGCTAAGTCCTGCTGCACAACCTTAGAAAGCAGAGAGGCAGCATCTGCTAGGGCGTATCACTTAACACCCTCTTCTGAAACGCGTTTGTTGCCAGCTCAGGAAACACCGCTACTGCCAACTCCCATGTAAAACAACGGGATTTCTCACCTGACCCCAAGCAGGCTTCAATAAATTTTAAAAAAGATATCCTTATTCAGAGGAACACTTTCCTTTATCATCTCCATTGTGCAAATTCTTTTTTTCTTGTAGGACGCCTGAAGCAGTGGGACAGCCTTCAGAGTGACCCTGAAATAACAGCCTGGGTATCCCTTTGGGCTGCAGTTCCCTAGCATGGCAAGTTTGTCTGCAGCACACATCTGCACAAACCATCAGAAATGCTTTCTCTGCTAGAGTCAGGAAAACAGAAAAGGGCAACATCTGGGCTGGTCAAGGCACGTAGGAAAACATCTTTGCCAACTTATTTCTATGGAATAGTCCCCTTGTTGCCCTACATTGACTGGAAGGACACATACATAGACAAACTGTGGTCTAAGCAAGCTCTGCTGAACTCAGCTGTCAGCTTTTAATTTGAAAAAGACCTTGGGAGATGCTTGAATATCCCAACTTAGATCACCTTCTGTAATTTGAATAAATATGAGATTCTGCACAATGTAAGACTGGGGTACCTACTGAGATCCACAGACTTAACTCGACTTTGGATCAGGCTGAGAGCAGGACTTAGAGATGGTCAGTCACCACACATGTGTGATGTTTTGTGACGGGCAGTTGTTTCATTATGTTGCATTGATCAAGACTGACCAGTACAGGATGCAAACATCTTAAAAACCAAACAGTTGCACCACTTTCTGAGACCTACTGTGTCTCTGAAACCTGAGACATCGAAATATTTGCCAGAAGAAAAAAATCCGAGAAGGAATCTGATTGTTCAGTTGGAATGGGGGTATACAGGAGAATAAAACAAACACAGTAGCTGAGAAAACACTATCGTTAATCACGGAAAATTAGGAGAAAGCCACAGACCAGGAATAGTGATTAAGAAAAAAAAAAATAAAAAAGTAAAATCCATATACAGAGAAGAGGAATATGATGCAGGATCATTGGTGCTGTCTTTCAGATTTGGGGCTCTAGAATATACAAAGCCTCAGCTTCTAAGTTCTTAGTACTGAGTGTAGAATTGAGCATTTAGGATGTGCACAATGACAAAACAACATGATTTGCTGAAAAGACTGCAGCAAGTATTCAAGAATATGTATTTTAACAGCTTTTTGGCACTGACTTATCCATGATATCCTACCAAAGAAAATTAAAATTTTCTGAATGTGTTCCTTCCAGTGAACTGGGACATTTTACAACAGATCAGATTTCTCTGGTGACAAAAACATGCCACTGAGTCAGCAGCTGTGCTTACAGAGGTATGCAGAAACCTTTCCTGCTTCCGCACCAACTTTGTTTTTATGTTACCCAGTGGCTGGAGAACAGGCATGGAGAGGCACAGAGTACCAGAGATAAAATATTCACGTTAGCTTGAAGGGCTATAGAAGGATTATAACATACGCTGAACGTCCATACAAAGAGAAGATGTAATCGTGTTACAGCTTATCAGGAATCAGATAAAACTTCAAGTGAAGCCTGACTTTTATTGTACGTGTACAATGTACATCTTCACTAACCCACAAATTTTTTTTGCCTTCTGCTACTGGGCAAATATTGACCAAATAACTCAGTTTTTACTGCATTTGAAGTGTCTAGTACACTTTTATGAGAGCATGAATATATACACTTCTAGCACCCAGCTGAGCTCTCTAGAGACACTTTCATCCATTGCTATCTTCTCTCCTACACATAGCCAAGGCTAGAAATCAACTTAGCGTCCCTGCACTGAAGCAGTGAGACACATGGTCGCTTCTTCACTCTTCCCTCTCCAAATTTCACACATCTACTAGCCATCAGCTCATACAAACAGGATTAAATGTGGAAGTAGCCACTCATGATTACAGATAACAAGTAACAGGCAAAAAGTCAAGTCAAAGAAGCAGCAAAGAGGCAGGCTGGTAGGTAGGTCACTCTGGGAGAGAGGGCTAGAGAAGGAATTTGAGACAGGAGGTATGAATGACTAGTCTGCCTCGGGCATTGGCTCAGCAACTGCCTCACGTGCTGGAACAACAATTACACAAAAGCCAGATGAAATTCACATGGGAACAGTGCATCCTTGGGCCTCATCTCTGAAAGATGGTTGTGAACACATCAATAGGCATTACAGAAGAATATTCAACAGGCTTCGAATCATCAGTTCAGAAAGAAGCATTTCAGAAAACGGAGCCTGCACCTCCCTGCTTCCCTGACACTGGTCAATTACTGCCATTCCTCAAGGCTCAGGTCTCCAATAAATCAGCTCTGCGACTCCATTTAATTCCAGCAACCTGCTGACAGCACTGAATTCAGAACATGCCAGCATTTCAGAGACGTGCTCCAGAAAGCCTTTATAAAATGCTTTAAATGTATTTGAGAATAACTTCATCTTTACGTTATGTTTTATCTCAATAACACATTGAAAGCCTCAAGATTTTCTTGCAAGAAAGACAATGTGAGGACATCAGGTACTTACCGCTTCCATTAACCCCTTGACTGTGGGTGATTTCAGCATCAAAGCGTCAAACACCTCATCTGTCTCCTTCCTCACATACAAAAGCACTGAAACAGAAAAAGTCAAACTTGGAGCAGGTTCAGTCAAACGAACAGATGAAACACCCCACAGTGAGTAGAAAAACACATATTAATCTATGACAGATAAAATGAAGCACTGAAGATGGTTTGCACTTTAAAAAAAAGTACTCTCTTATCATCAGTGACCTGAACATGGAAGACATATCATAGTTGCTTTGAAAACACACAATGAAAACCCAGCAAATTTAATTTAATGTGAGAAATCTGTATCTTCAAGAGTTTAAACCTCCATTTACTGAAATAAGAGAAGCTAAAAAGCAACAGGGACCTGTCCCTGGGTCATGTAACAAAACACACATGCTAGGTCTTCCGAAACCTGTGTCCTGGCTTGCACCTTTCTGGGCTTCATCCAAGAGGCTGGGGAAGGACATTCAGAAAAGGCAAGTCTGGTTTGCCTTTAGCTGAGCCTTGAAAAGAAATAGTTCCCTCTGACATTACCACGCGGATGACTGCAAACGGGCCTTGCCAGTCTGAAAATAAACACTGGAAACAGCAAGCCCACAGTCATTTGAGACTTTACAGGGGAGCCATTCAACAGCAGAGCTGGCAGGCAGGCATTTACCTGCGCGCCCACCCCTGCTCAGGTACCCAAACGGCATCTGCACTTCTGAAAGTCTTCTCTTCCTCCCTTGGATATCCTGCCGGGTCTTACTGGTTCACAGGCACAGTGCCCTGCCCTCTCTGCCTCTTGGTTTCTTCTCTTACTTGTACAGATAAAAGGAGGAAACGTTGTTATATGGCAAAAGTAAAGCAGACAGCTACAAAGCAAATAAACACAAACACTAGAGAAGTGTTTTAGGTGTAATCTCACATGACTCTGATAAAGTAGCAGGTTAAATAAGATGTTCCTCAATTTATTTTGTTCCCTAAATAAACTGCCTTTTCAAGTAGCAGTGCTGCACATTGAGTACAAATACATGTGCACTGTTAGGTATTTTACGTCTGTGTGACAAACTACATTGGTAACAATCTTTTTTTTTTTTTTTTTTTTGGTAGACAGAAAAAGATAAACTTTTGAAACTGCTAATCCTTGTGATCCCAAACATATCTTCACCAGGTAACTCAACAGATGACTTGCAGATGAACCAACAGAGATGATGGCACTTTGCAGACAGAAGCAACTGTTTGGAAGCTAATTCTTGGTCAAGACAAAGGTGGACTCAGGCCCATTTGCAGAGAATTGTAACTTCTTTGCCCAGGTTCTGAAATGACTGAAAAAAGATTTAAAACATGGGCAGATCAGTGCCCTGCATTGGTCCACAGACACATAGGACAACGGTGGGTTTTTGCATCACTAATTCAGAGGTATGAGACACAAAACCGCTACCACAGGCATGTAGAGCCACATCCTTTTCACCTACATGTTGTTAACTCTTCAGAACCTGCCTGAGAGTGTCCTTTGAAAGGACTTAGAAGCTGAGACAACTTCGGATCACAATCTAAATAACTGTCAGAGTATAAGAGAACACAAAATATCCACAGCCGTAGATAAGCTTTATTGTTCCAATATGCTTCCTTGCATGGCCAAGCACTTACTCAAGTGCTAATTTTACCTGTACTAACATTTTTATTAATTCAGTAATTCTTTTCCTGTGACCAGAGGGCTGTCCTGTAACTCCTAGCTTTTCAAACACGTGCACCTCTGCCAGCATTAATAATTACGAAAGGAGGAAAAATCACTCAGTCTGAGGTTAAAGCTGGGCACATTATACAATCCAAGTGCTGAGCTTTAAATGTCTCTGTTGTGCTTGACATGTCAGGCAACATGATGCTGAATGAAGAATCCACTACAAGGATAGCGGGGAACTTGAATCACTATTATACACACAGAGAGCCAGGATTAGTAAACATAGTTTAGTTGGGTTTTTTTTCTTTCCCCTTACAGGTGTGAAAATCGCAGCTTTGATTCACTAGGGCGCTCTTCCATAAATGACTTCTGGTGACAGTGATGCCCTAAGAAGCCCCTGACTCATCCCTGCCCTTATGCTCTGTTACTCTGGCCTGTCTCAATGAATTTTCTTGTGCGCTGAACTCTTGAAGAACAGATGCAAGTGAAAAAACAACCCTTTTTTTCGTTGTTCTTCAGACAGATCAGGTTCCTACTTCAGCGTACAGTGCAACCCCACAAGCCTTCATGCTGGTGCAACTGCAGGGACAAGGCCAGCCGGTCCGCAGCAGCCAGGGCGGAGGGAAAGGAGCTGCAAAGGCTCCAGTAGCCTCAGTAGCATCGCCATTGACTGCCAAGCCATGGCTGTGATAACGTGACAACTCGTACTTACGCCCTCCTACTGTCACTACGTTCATGGCATTGAGATGGTCGCACTTTAATAGTACAGATTGCAATACTTGGGGAAAACACCCCCTTGCACCAGGCAGTGAGTTAATTTTGACAGCAAGTAAAAACAATTCAAATTGTCAGACCTCTGCACAGCTTCGCCTCGGTTCTTCACCTTCTTGCCAGCACTGAAACCCACTGTAGTCCCTAATGCTCTTCAGATGTTAAAAAGAATTGCAAAAGATGGGGGTCATAAATTATCTTTAGCTACTTAAGGAATAGCCCTGATTCACAAAATTCTGGAAGGGGAATTGTTGCACGTGGGAGATTTCTGGAAGCCTGGCCACTGAGCTGGGGATTTAAGTGTGAATGCAGAACAACATTAGATATCTCTTTTAAAAGTGTTAACAGCTTGGCTCTCCACTGGCAAATCTGCCAAGGCAGAAGACATGCAACAGACACGTGACAAAAAAGAAACTAAGGAGATGACGGGACAGTAAGACTTGGGCCACTAAGAAGGTCTGAGCCCAGGCATTCCTGATGCCCTGACTGACACCCTGTGAGCAATGGCTACAGTCTGCGTAAAGTGGTCTCTGGCTGGAGATGTAGCACATTTCAGACAAGGAAAGTAGGGCTGGTAGCTGTGACCCGGCTTTCCTTTCCCACATTTGGAGTCTTCACTAATTGCCCAGGCACAAATTCCCTAGCTAACGGAGCCCCAGAGTGTCCTCCACAGGGATGATTCACAAAACCCTGATTGTTATGAATCAAAAATGTCTCCGAGTAGTTTAACATGACTTTCCTTAGAGACAAAAGCTAGACACAAATATTACTTTCTTCAAGCTGAGAACTGCAGGACTGGAAATCTCCCTGATCTGTAACATCGCTGCTGGATTCATAATTAATGGAAAACTCCCTATGAAATCTGAAAGGGAAAGTGATTTGAAAACTCTTACTGAGTACTCAACACGGGAAAAGGCCACAAGTCTAGCCAAGTAATTAGCTGCACTGCACGCCTGGTACAGAGTAACATACTTCACATTTCTGTGTTGGGCATGTGTACCTCCCTTAGAGATCAAGGAGCTGAATGAATAATTCACAAAGACACCGCTATCTGTGTGAGAATATGAACCTTGTGTTACCAATGGTTTGCAAAACACTTCAGATCTGTTCTCTTGAAGGCTGCCCCTTAATGCTTTCGCTTCCACCAGACCGTATTACAATTAGGTCCATCAGGCAGAGGTGGGACCACACACTGTCACTTCAGTTGGGCTTGGAGCCCTCGCTGGGTGCTATGTACCTGCACGGCTCTGATTATAAGCCACCTTGGGATTACACTGCTTGTAATGCCTATTTCCACATATTAGACCATCTCTCTTTCAAACATTACACCAGTGCCCCATTTATACCTGCTCTCTGGAGTTATTGATTCTGCTGTACCAAATAAATCTGGGAGAAAAAAGCTTCTAGTATGGCTGTGCCCGGGGAATGCAGCACAACATTGTAATGCCCGGTGCTTCCTGTGGCAAAGACAGTATTGTCAAATGGGCAGATCCATCAGCACAATCCCAGACATAGGATCCTTGATGGCAGAAGTTCATCAGAGCAAAGGTCATGCTGGAAGAGGTTCGGCCTCCAGCCAGCATCCTCCAAGTTGCAAAAAACACTGAACAGGAAGGGGATGTGAAGTGAGCATCCTCCAGCTTCTCTGGTTCCATGGCTCTCCTGGATTTAATTATTTAATAGAGTTTTGCCACCAATTGAGAAACATTTTTTTTTCTTTCAAATCTTCCCTTGAAAGGGCTCCAAGTCCTAGATGCTATTAAAACAACTTACCACAGCAAAGTACAAGAATAATCAAAGCAGACCAATACATCCTTGCAGGCAACTCTCCAGGCTTCCAGCTGGAAAACCCAGGTGAAATTGCAGGAAGAGACAGTTTTTTATGTAGCCCTTGTGGCTCTGCCCTTCTGCCTGATAGAGCCCTGATAATGTGAATTTGGTCAAGGCCTTGAGTCAACAAGATGCAAGGCTGTGGTCAGTGCTGACCTCACATAATTAATTGAAGATGTAATTAAAAGAAGAATATGTTCACATTTATTCCAGGAAGATATTAGTCTTCATACTGTAATCTTGTATGCTTCTCCTGGTTCAAGCACACCACCCTAAACAATAGGGGAACTTTGCAAATGCAGGCTCATGGAAAGTTGTTTCTGTAAAGCTCAAACGAGTCTTACAAATGGTGCAACCAAGAACAACTGAGATCATTTCTGTACCTTGGTTGCTTTGGTATCTCACAAACTGATGGGTGAATCTCCAAACACTTGCAAGTTTGAGTTATTGAAGTTGGTCAGACTCCTGAAGTCTCCAATAAACTTACATGACAGAATTCATGAGACTGAAGGAATGGACTATATTCTCCAGACTAACTGTGGTAGTGCAGGAAGTTATCACCTGTAGCGCTGCACTGGAAGTGACCGTACACAAAGCAGATTTTGTGGACAAAACCACCATCCGCTCATCCTTACCTTCAGCACAGAGTTTAACAGCTCTACCTAAACCATTGCTTCAATGTGACTCAACTGAAGCTTCGCTGTAGCAGAGTGGAAAACAGGATTTGGACTGGTAGAGCATATGAAACGCAAGTGTGATAATATTCACTCAGGGCAGTAAAAACAGTTAAGGGAAACAAACTCCTAAACAATTCAGTTAGGTCTGCTGGAAGATGTCTCTCCAGGCCTTATATTTCTAATTGGGTACGAAATTTCTGAGATTTTATTCAGGCTAATCTCACTCTGCAGTTAGCAGAAGCTTGCCCGTGTAAGGTCTCTGTACTTGACCCAGTGCATCTTGCATATTTGCTTGTGATCCCAGCCCAAACAGGAAAGAAAGATGAGCAAAAGTTAAAAATAGACAATCACAGATTTGCTACTGGAACATTTATGAACTATGTAGCTTGGCCAAGAATCAAGAAACTTTCTAGCTTTTTTATATTTTTTATACACTTGTGTCCTGATCCCTTCTTGAGACAGCACAGTCCTTTTTTTTTCTTTCTGCTTTTAAATCATTACTAGCATTTGCTAAAATGTCTCCTTGTCTACTGGCAGGTGTAAGGATTCTCTTCTCCCATCTATCCCACATTTGCACTAGCATCAAACAACTGACTTGGTCCGAGCCACACCTGCCCTTCCCAGCTTGAGGGCATGCATCATTTTTAACTGCTAAGAAATGACTGTTACCTCTTTTCAGGCCTTCTTCTTTCATTTGTTTCAAAGGGGATGGACCAAACTCCTCCTCCACAGGCCGGAACATCCTTTTGACCAGGACGCTGCTACTAGAAAACACACAACAGAGACTATGTCACAGTAAAACTGTGCTCCCAGCAGGAGAAGAGACAACAGCAGCAGTCATGACTCACTTTGTACTCTGGTAAAATCCCCACTAGCTACTCAAGTAGCACCAGACCAGAAACTGCAAGGATTTAGCTTTTGATGCTTATCTGAATGCTCCAAGCCTCTCAAACTGCCCAGACTGACTGGCTGGGATATGTGACATGTGACAGGAAAATAGGCTCCAACGTTACATACCATTTTGAAAACCCCAAAGGCCCTTAACTGTTTAAATATTAAGGGGGGTGGGGAGGAAGAAACAGCTAAGTAAGGAGCTGAACCCCCATGTACACATTGATTCACCTCCTCTTTGGGGTCAAGGAGACAGCCTCAGGAAACACCATCAATATTTCTAAAATCCAAGACCGTACAAGGCAGTGAGTTCAAAATGAACGACATCCTGGGCCAGCTCCAGCCCGATGCTGCGACGTGCTCCGCTGGGGCAGCCGAGGGCTCAGGGCACTATGGCCACCCCCTCCCCGGGGTGCAGCTCTGGCAGGACTCAGGGTCTCCTGTTACTCTTGGAGGAGAGAACTGAAGCCAATGTGCTTGGTGCAATAAACTCAGATTTGAGGGGGCTCACTTGGGATTCAAGCAAGTATGGGGCTTGCACACATTACAGTCAATACTGGCTGAGCTTCAGAAACACATGTTAAAGCCCTTATTCCATGAGATCTCTATTTTTGTGACTTTCTGCAATTCTTCCAGACCCTCCAAAGCCAGATAGAGGATGCACCCATTTCCAACCTCCCCCCTTCCTAGGTCCTGTTCTCTCTCTGCCTTTCACTTTTGGCATTCAGGCATTCTCTCTGCAGTTCTTGTATTTGTTGCATACGCATGCGTGCTGCCAAACAGCATTCAGGAATGTGGTGAAGTTCAGTGCTCCATTAAAAAAATTCAGGTTTTTAAATTATTTGAGAGCCCTTAGATACATATAAAAAAGGAACTTTATTATCAAATATATTGTCCTGTTCCTGTATTGAACTTTATGGCTCTTTAAACTGTTTTACTTGGAAATGTAATTTAAAAAAACATATAAAAATTAAGCAGTTTGCATGAAGGAAAAGGAAGTTACCACAAAATAAACCTCCCTCTACCAGTTCTACATATTATTCACCTACTGTTAATGACGGGAGAACATGAGGGGAGGGGGAGAAAGGAGATTAGTTTTATCTGATTTCATGTTTTGTGCCTGCTTTCTATGAGTTTGAACTGCTAACTGCAAAGCTTGTGAAACAATAAACGTCTTACCCTTCTCTCTCATCATCTGTATTATAGTAAACCTAGAAGGGTGGAAAAAAACCAATTATTCCCAAAACTCAAACACCTGCTTAACAGAACAACTTCAAAAGGGAAAAAAGACAACAAGTGGTTTGCAGTTTTTAATCTGTTAAAAATTCTTTTCCTTCTATAAAAAACAAACACCTCTAGTTCTAATTGTGATCTGGAAAAAGCACTACTTAGAAAAACTGCTGTCAAGTATCATCTAGTGGAAACATATCAAAGCATTTTGACAAACATTGCCCTCTCCCCTGGTTTATATCATTTTCCCAATTATTTTACAATAATCTAAATCAGATCACTACTCACCTAAATAACCCCTAATACAATTTAAGCCATAACACCCACAAGCTTTTGTATGTATTTAATACTGTCTGAAAATCTAATTAAACTATAAAGACCAACATTAAACTACAGGCCTAATGGAAATACAATTGCTAATGCTACAGCTGAACTTTTTTGCACAGGCTGTGGGCAGAAGCTCAAGTCCAGACCATTGTTTAGTGTAAATCAGTACAGCTCAGATTCACTGGGACCAAATTTACAACAGCAGCAAACGCAGCTAACAGTAGCGGGGGAAGTGTAAAATCACAGTCTGTTGTTAAAGGCTTTACAGAACAGTCAGCCAACCTCCTCACCCGCCTGCAGTGCGGGTCCACACCAACAAGTGCACCGACACTCCAGCTGCTGGGTTACTGTGCAAGCACGGGACGAAAGCAGGGCACCGGAGCCTCACGTTCTGCTAGGGCAGAGCAAGGCATCTCGGGGCAGGTTTCCAGAACTTGTGCTGGCAAGACTCAGAGCTCACAAGGCTTCACTTTTACGATGAAAATAGCTCAGAGGTGTGTGTGTGCGAAGCTGAGGTCTGTAACTCATTCTATGGCCAGGACCTGGAAGTGGCTACCCTTTCATAGCATTCATAAATAATAGATTATTTCATAATAAATCATTCTTACATTAAGTAATACACAAAGCAATTGGAAAGTTCAGGATAGCAAGGCTTGAAATACTACAACCTATACAGCAGCAAATAACAGAGCTGACCATTGCCTGAGAGCTAGCAAACTGGGGTATCTTCCAGTTTAGAAAATTATTTACAGGATTACATACACTAAGGAATGATTCCACCTTCTCCTGTTTTGAGATAAATCCACATTCTGGTTTGAAAGCCATGAGGACAGAAGGTACCCAGCACTGATATGTAAGTGGGTGTCTTTCCAATTTTGGAGAGTAAGTCAGTGACAGCTGTGATTGCAATGTCTGCGCTGTTTGTGCTTTGCTCCACCACAGTTCTCACTGCTTTAAAATAAGTGACAATTCCAACACTCAGTGTCAGTTAATCTTCATTGTTTTAATATTTTGCAGCAAGATGCTTATAAAATTTCCTCATCTACTATTTGTCTCTATAAGCACATGCATAAAGGTCTCATGCTACTCCCCGAGATGTTAATAAATAACAGGTTCATACTGAAAAAAATTGTCAGAGCTGGCCCTCCAATTCAGGTTTTCAATTTCCCAGCAAGCAATAAAGTAGGTCTTAAAAGAGTCAAGTCAGCAAAGACTTCCTCACACTTCCTGGTGATAATGACTCCGTGACTCCTGCACTAAGCCAACACTGATTAACATTAGCATGATAGACTTTTACTTTGTAAAGTGAAAACATTTTCTTCCAAGGAATTCCCAGATCTCTAGGTGATGCCGACAGAAAGTGGGCACTGGTGTTTAATGAGCCTGCTCTTGACCTCCTTACACATGGAAGAAGTTGGTCATTTGTCACAGGGAGGGGGATCTCTGCTACCACAAGGTGGCACTTTATTTCATCAAGCCAAATAGCACATTCAAATTTCTTTCAGTCACAAAGCAACCTATTTCAAAAATTCTTCACTATTTATTTCATTCTTTCTTACTAGCAAAAGAATGGCAAAATGAATAACAAACACAAACTAGTCAGTTATTAATGAAGTATAAACTCCTTTTTCACACTTGGAACGCAGAAAGGCACTTGTCTTTTGCAAGGTGTTTGTTAAGTGACTTGCCAAGAGCTGCATTTACAAAAACAAGAGCTGAAACAAGCAGCCCCCAAGAACAGTGATTTATTTTCCTAAAACTTGCCTCAGACCACAGGCAGACGGACAGCGGGCGGGCACTGGCTCATCTCATTATCATTTCCTACCTGTCCAGATCTTTGTAGGTTTCCAAAGTGAACATCCGGTATGAAGAGAACTGGCTGGGAATCCAGGTCAGTCATTGTTTTGAAGAAGGTGATATCACTCTTTTTTTGCAGAGGGAGCGCACTCAACTTCCCTTCAGCTGCTTGGAGGATCACAAAGGAACACGGTTACAAGCGGAGGCACACTAAACACAACTTAGCCCCAAACCAGAGAGGCCTCTCTTACTCACAGTTATTACACGAGGCTTGGGATGCCTGGCCTTTGCCTTTCTTCCTGTTCTGCTTCCTCTCTTCATCTCGAATTTTCCTTTCCGCTCCCTGATGCAAAAGAGACAAGCCACAGATATCATTCAAAGAGCCCTGGAACTACAGCAATGGACACATCAGAAATGCTGAAACAGAGACTGGTTATCCCATTGCAGACAAATCTGTCCAGGTTGTTGGGAACATGCCGATCGATCACCTGTGCCTGAAACTCTGGCATATCCAGCAGCCCCCAGGACTGGAGACAGCAAGAGGAAAATATCCACATGCTGGCTTGGAGTAGATGGGATGGACGATGGCTCGGGCAGCGTGCAGTCTGTAGCAGGGCTGTGCCACCACAACTTGCTCAAAGAGCATCCCACACCCAGCACCTCTCCCATGGATGGAGTACTCAGGCCAAATACTTTGCACACATACTGACGTAAAACACCTGCAAGATCGCTAACGTCTTAGATCATGTCTCTGCTAAGCTTTCCCACAGGGGGAAGCTCTCCAGAAACTGCAAAGTGATGTAGCGCTGCTCTATTAAGCCCCAGGAGCTCCTGGGAAGTTGCAGGCTTCTGTTACGTAAATATACTCTCAACAAGTTTAGAAAATAAAACTTGTTATTGGCATAAAAAGCAGGAATACCTCCTTTGAAGATCTCCTAATTTACTTTATAAATATGACTAGTCATGTTGCGAAGGGTATCAAAGATCCATATGCTCCTAGAAAGTCAGCATGCAAAACTAAAGATTTTTTTCCAAATTAAAATTAGAAGTTTCTTTAAAAGAAAGGGGGAAGGGACAGGGAGGTAAAGAAAGCCAAAAATATCCACTCAAGATGGCAAAATTCACACTAGCCCATGAACCTTTTTTTAGTGCAAGGAAAGATGTACTCCTGACTGTGATCTATCAATAGATTTCTAGAGGTTGAAAGAGGTGGAGGAAGAAACAGCTCTTCAAAAAACATGAAGGTGTCTAACAGAAACACTGCCTTCAGACCCTGGTCCCAATCCAGTCGTCACTGACCTCAACCACAGGAGCCAAGAGATTCAGAGTTGTGCTCTTAGCAGAATTGTTTCTAGGGGTACATTTGTATCTTTGAAGGCCGTCTGTTCTTTGATGGAAAGGGGCAAAAATGTGCCTCACAGCCACCGTCCTGCAGAAGGCACGTTCCTGAGAGCCCCGTGCTGCACAAAACTGCTCTGCCAGGCAGCCACAGCCCTACCTACCGCCCGGCGCTGCTGCTCTGCTGCTCACAGGTAGCAGGATGAACCTGGAAAATCATTTTTTACATGGCAGCAAGTGTGAGTTTCCTCTCAGGAAAGCAGAAAACGAGGAGGACTCAGCCTTTCGTGCACAAGAAAGCATACACATTTTGCTGATTTTTCTTTCATATTCTCTGTAACTATGAACCTGGGAAAGCTTCACAGCTTTGTCTTCATCCATTCAAGGCAAAACACCCCCAATCCTCGGGGGTGCAGGCAATCCCTGAGCAGGGCAGCCATCCATTCCCACCCCCCAGTGCTTGTTTGTGCCACAGCAACTTTACATACGCGACGACTGCAACACATGAGAACAGAAAAAAAATGGTAGCAAGCTTGAAACAAGGCCCTTTGACATAAACTGAAAGATTCCCATCAAAAATATTGGACAAGACTGGAAAGCGTTTGCATTTTAGAGATTTTCATTCCCTAACACCACCACGAAGCAGCACAGCACGCAGGGAGCTAGGCTCAGCTTGCTTTCTCGCATTCCCACCCAGCAGAGCGCAGAAGGAGGCAGCAGCCCCATGAGATGGCTCGAGACCATCCAGCAGTGCTCCCTCTGCCTCTTCCCACTTAACTGGTGCCAGCGCTTGCTGGACTCACCTGTGAACCATTTCAAGTCCCTAATCCTGCAAAGAACCAACCAAAGAATAGTGGGAGAGTTTTTCTTTTGGGTCAGTGAGGTGACCTTGCTCACGGACGGATCCAGCAAACACCAAAGCTGTGCAAGGAGGACACAACATGGGTCATCTGAGCAGAGGGCAGAAGCAGCCAGACTCAACACAGAGCCAGGCTTCAATGTCAGCAAGCTAGCTGGCTGGCTCAGCTGCTCGTGGACCCACAAACCCGCCTACCAGCCCTTCTGAGCTAGGAGCATCCCACACGGCGCAGTGCAGGGGTTGGCCAAGCCTACACATCATTGCGGCAGGTGCTGAGACAGTGGACCATAATAGCATTTTTGCACACCAAAGCATTTCTGCTGGACACTTTTCACAGCTGAGGCATCTGACACATCTGATAAATCAGAGTTTGCATGTCTCTTCAAGATAGAAAAAGAAAGGAATTTCTCATAGGGGACTATAAACCAGGCTCTGACCAGTCAAATAACCGAATGAGTTTTCTCATTTTTCAATTATGTCTGGATTTTGTATAAATGCAACTAGGGCTTCTGTTACTAATCATTAGCAAAATGCAGCCTTTCAATTTATTTTATTTTGGAACAAAGTTACGGTATTTGCCAAGTCAAATGCTTCTGCTTCTCTTCAGCAAAGCTAATCACATAGAGAAAATCAAAATATCTCTGAATCCCCAGTTCCTTCACACACAGTGGCTAAAGCATCTTGCAATACATAAATATAAATAGGCCTGGTAGCAAGTTTCCCTGACAACCTACTTAAGGAATAAAAATTATATTCTCTTATCATAATACAGCATCAGTGATGTACACATGATAAAAAGACTGCAAGGGCAGAGAGAATTAGCACTGAGAAAACAAGATGTGCACTGTAACAGCTGCTTTGAAGACTGCCTACAGGAAAATAAAAAAACACGGACAACAGATTGGCAAGCACACGATTACAACCTTTGCAGCCTTTATCTCGGTACATTTATGTCACACAGCACACACTGGATCCAAGTCGGTGTTGCTCTCTAGTTTATATGTAAATCAATACAAAATTTAAGCAACTGCCTAAGTAAACACTAAAATATATATACAATATGTACCACTTAGCTAAATGCAGGTTTATTTCTTCAGGAATACTCTTTCCACAACAGCTAAGCTGTGTTTCACCTGAAGGATGTTAATTTATCAGGAAATGTTTTTCTTAAAAACACTTCTGCTTGTGATTTATCTCAGTTAATATACAAACACATCTACTGGTCTTAAAGAGGCACCGCACCGTCACTGCAGAAAGACCATTTGTAAGAAAACTGTCAGGCACAGAAACATTTTTTCTTCCATGTTTCAAACTAAGATACATTTCAGTTTCTTAGGTGGAGAAATTTAACCTGCAGTTCCTCTAAAACAGATAATTGTAATAAATCAGGCACTTTTATCATCGGCTTCTCTTTGGGGTTGTCAGATCAGGGCATAGCAGTGCAAGTCACACTTTTAAAATGTATAAGAATTATTATATATTTGCTGGTTTGTTTTTTTGTTTTTTTTTTTTAAATGGCCCCATATTTTTTAAATTGATGAAGACAAAGAGGTGAGAAAAAAATGGTCTTGACCCCATGGCAGCAAACCCTGTCCTCCTCACCAGAGGGCGAGTCGCAGACCCGGCAGAGAAACCGAGCCAGGACCCTCCATCCAGCGCCGCTCAACCGATGCCAGGGTTTACTTTGGCATCTTGGAAAGATGAGGGTACCCAGCCCCACCAGCTACCTTCCTCTGAGCACGACCAATCCTCCCCCAGGGCCACCAGCAAGTGGAAATTGTTCAGCTATTTATTTACTTACAGAAGCCCCACGACCAGCGGATGCGGGCAAAGACACAGCAGGCTAAGGGAGGGGAGCGGCGGGCCTCGGGTCTCTTTCCAAAGTGCCAATTAGGACAAGCTGTCATGTGAATCGACCTCAATAATTTCCATTCATTTTCATTCCTTCAACTCATTTTCAGCCCTTCATTAAGTTAAAAAGTACACATTGATATTACACCCATATATATCCCATTATCGATACCTTGGAGCCCTCCAGTTCCCACTTTCAATATAGTTTTGATGTGGATAATGCTTTAACTACCCTTGTGATCTTTTCTTCTACTTTGAGACAGTTTTGATTAAAAGACTCAACGTTCATTTCCTGCTTTCTGGTCCAGATATTTGAAGTACCAATTAAGCCAATAAATGCAATGAGCATGTATTATTCAAAATCTCCACAAGTTGTGCCTACAAGTCGCCCTTGATGAGTTCGTGCTGTGAATTTCCTTCCTTTTTAAATAACTCAGATTTTATAATTGCTTTTCAATAACACGTAGATGAAAACAGCTCGCTACTTTGATATTTAGTGAGCTTTTAACATCCAGCTGTAGCTTCAAATCTCTAAATAGTTGACATTCAAAGTTACAATTAAAAGCATAACATTTTGACTACAAACATAGTGCATACATTTACATTCATTACTTTCAAAGTTTTTGCAACCGACTGATTAGCCCTCAAGATCCTGTTGTCAAGACAGCAACAAGGGAATGAACTGAAAAAGGGAAAGGAGCAGCAGCACAGCGACCTGGAACAGTTGAACTCTTACCCTTTCCATTAAAAAGTTAATGCTACCTATTGCCTGGGGCATGGCCTTTTGCCTTTCTGTTCCCACCTGTAAGATGGCAAGACTCATTTGGACACATTTCTGAGTCACTTAAGTAGATGAAGGCTCCTGAATGCCTGAACCTTGACCAGAATCCAGGCATCAGCCCTCACCTGGAATATCTTTCCCAGCAGGGTTAAAGTCATCAGCTGGCAGGTGTTAAACACAACCGAAACCTGGTCATGCTCACATTAAGGATCATCACTGAGATAACACTCCTGAGCAACTGTTTCTGCTCTAGGATATATACAGCTGACATGACACTGCAGACTCATTAATGCATGATCTATGTTTTGGTGCTGAAAAATCTTACCAATTCCCACAAAGGAGTGGGGAAACCCACTGTAAAATAACCAAATTTTGCAAAAGAGGGAGTGAACAAAATAAAAGGAAAAAAAATAGTTACTGAACTACAAAATGGGAATGGTTAATATATTTTGCAGTTTACTTTTAATAAGAAAAACCTAGCAACATAAATGGCTCATTGATGCATCCAAAATAACAGTTTGTAATCCAGCTCGGGGGGGGAAACCATCAGCTGCATCCCTGGGACTCAGTGTTTTCCACTGTATCCTAAAAGAGAGCTTAGGAGGCCTTTCTCAGAGGTGCACTTCTCTGTCACATATCTCTCCACAAGTTTTACACATTACCTATCCTGGCACTGGATTGAGCCTACAGTCAGCAGTGACCTTCCAAGCACAGATCTTTATATTTGTGCTTTCTATGACTTTTTTTTTATATTCCTGTATCATGACCTATAACATGTTGTCCCTAAACAGTCCAACTATTGCTCACAAGCTGAGGAAACAGGGCCAAAAAGGCTGCAAAGCAGTAAAAAAAATTACATGATAATCTGCTGGATTTATGATATAGCTGGTCCAAATTCTACCGTGAAACATAACTCTTCAGGGAAAGAAAAAAAAAACATTTAACTCGGTCTAAAATACAGCAATAATAAACTGTCTAACAAGGGTCCTCCTCTATCCATGGTAATTGTGCTTTCCACTTACCTTGTCACAAAAAACCTTGATCTGGCAGTAGGCTCGGTGGATGGGTTTATTGCTGCGGTTGTTGTAGCTGTACGTATCAATCTGAATCATCAAAGGAAGCCCTTTTACTCCTTTTTGTGAGGAGAAGTCTGTGCTCAAGCAATTCACTGTGATGAAGATCTGTGTGCCAGAGAGATTACTTTTAAAATGTAGTGTAAACAACTATTAAACTTCTGGAAATACCTGACAACAAATGGGAAAATAAAAGCAGACAATGTCCCACCCCCTCTCCCCCCCGCCAAAAAAAAATAAATTCAGCTACAATCCACACTCTGGCAATTCACACATTTATTCTCCACTTCTGCCCTCAGTCCAGCAAAGATGCCACCAGACTGGGAAGAAGGACAAACTTTTAAGGTGTGCATCGCTGCTTCAGTTTGCATCAGGAGCTCACATTTGAGGTGAATCATTTAATTGTCCCAAATTATCATGCTCTGATTTACCGGAGGGCTCAGAGTGCGTGAGCTGTATTCTTTTTGGAAAAAACAGACCAGAAGATGTGTCCTAGAAGCACATCTCACATGCTCCAGCTGCTAATGGTTTATCAGTCTGTGGGAACTGACCAAAGATAATCTGAGATAAAACCTCCTAAAATGTGTCTCACGTGAATGTCAGGTCTTTGGTCCTGACTTGTTTCACTCTACAAAGCTGCTGTATGTTTACACTATTTGTTAATACAGACATAGGAAGACCATCTTGCATTGTCCTTCAGTCCGGCTTGTTCTTCTGACAGCTCGCAATTTAAATTCAGTATGGCCAAGGAAAAGTCCTACCCTTCCCCATGCCCCCAGCTCTCATCAGCAGTACCCCTTCCTCCATCCCATCAACAGATACTCCTGATCTTCACTTTAAGGGTCTTTCACTATCTTCCTGTTCAAGAAACGTGTCGATGTGGTGCTTAGGGACATGGGTTAGTGGGTTAGGTGGTGTTGGGTTGGACTTGATGATCCTTGAGGTCTTTTCCAACCTCAATGATTCTGTGATTTTCAAAAATGCATCTCATCCTGTCTTCCAAACTAGGAAGGTGTTTCTCAAACATTCATAAAACCACTCCTTACCTCTTCCCAAAAGTCCCCCTTGCCATGTAGCATCCATACAACTTGACACTGCCCTTCGTTCCTGGCAAGGACTGCCTGCCTCTGCTTCAGAAACCCATCTCGCGCTTTCCTTCTATGCCCGCTTATGTCTGTTGAAGCCACTAGTCACCTCCCGCCCTCCAATCTCCTCGGGCTCTATGTGACAAGGTATGTCTTGTCCGCCATGTGTTTGTACAGCACCTGGCAGAAGGGTCTCCCATCACCACATCTCCCAAGGACTATTTTGATGCAAAGCAAGCATTGTGAACCGAGATATCCCTGATATCTTACAGTCAAGACAGCGTGCATGAACCTTGAGAGATGAAACTGGATTAAAAATCCAACTGTTCTTCCCAGTGATGAATATGTGCATTACTTAGTAATTTGGGACAGTCATGTATTGGCTTGATTCTACTTGTGACTTCTCAGTTTAAAAAACAACAAAAAAACCCCAGAACTGTGAACTAAGGAAAAGGACACCTATGTCAGTACA